ATCCAAATAATACCATTTCTACATCTTAATGTGAAAAGATCATTAAAGAGCTATTTTACTTGCTTTTTTTCTCTCCAAGTCTTTGAAACCTGCCATGTATCTTACACTCAACGGCACATCGCAGCTTGCACGCACCATATTTCAAGCGCTCTCCTGCCCACGGTGGCCTGTGCCTCCAGAGTGGACAGTGCAGGCTTCGTCCCTCCTGGGGACTCGTGTCGGACCTCCCTGAGCCTGGTGTGCAAGCCCCGGGCAGGGGCCCGGGCATGCAGTAGGTGCACAGGGCCTGGAAGCTGCCCTTTCTCCTCCAAGGCCCTGGCCAGTGGCTGACTTGGAAGCCCCCAGACCCTTGCCTTTCAGACACTCAGAGGTAGGCCACTCTGCTCCCTCAGGGTGTCCAGAAACTGATGGCCTTTGCTGAGCCCCTACTGCAGGCAGCCAGGAGGCTCAGGGCTTGCTCCCAATGCAAATCTCACCCACAAAACAAACGGGGGCCACGTGAGGCAGAATTAGGGGTGGCCCCTATGCCTGGTCATGTCCGAGCGGCACGTGATGGGCGGGACTCAGTGTTCCATGGCAGCTCGGGGTGGGCGGGGGCCCGAGTGCACGCAGCTGCAGCCCCCATGCCCGTGCCAGTGGGTCCCAAGGGGCTGGGCTCAGGCAGAGATGGGGCGGTGGGCGGCAGAAGCCCCTCTGTGCTCAGACCCACCTGTGCCTTCCTGGCCTTCACAGCGCTCACGCCTCAGCCCACAGCCCTCCAGCCGTGACCCCTCCTGCCGCCTCCGGTCTCCCCACCGTCCCGTTTGCTCCGGACGCTCCCACAGTTCCTGGAAAATACCATCCACTTTCTTCTGTGGCCTCTGGACTTTGGCACATGCTGTTCCCTCCACCTGGAGCCCCCTTCCCTGCTCTCACCTTCAGGCTGGTCTGGGTCACTCTGATCCTCCCTCGGGTCTCAACGGACACATCACCCCATCAAGGAAGCCCTCAACAGCAGTCCTCATTCCGCTGTAGCGCCTGTTAGAAATGCCCTGCCTGGGGACCCTGAGTTTCTAACGGGTGTCCCTGGAATACAAGGTTCACCCCTGACTCTCATGCTTTCCCCGTCCTCCTCCCGCACCCCATGGAAGAAGACAGCTGAGTTGGGGACACATTCACGTACCCCACCCCGACAAGCTCATTTCCAGGTAACGGGAGAGACGGGTAGGAGGGGCCAGGGTGGCCCAGCCTCGCTCTGTAGGGGAGGAAATAGGCTTGGGTGGGCTCCGGTGGCCAGAGGGTGGAGGCCGCCCGGCGTGAGGGGAGACCTCGTTGGTGGAGGGAGGATTAGGGTGAGCCTCAACTCCCCAGAGGAAGCACAGCAACTGGCCCCCAGAGGGCCCCAGGGCAAAGCCGGCACAGGGTCATCATAAGAAAGATCTATCTTAGTGGAGTAGTAAGCTCCCCATCCCTGGAAGCATCCGAGCAACAGCGCCAGGTGCTGGAAAAGGAGTTGGAACTTTGCACAGGCGTCGATTTGCGCCTTTAAAGGGTTTGCCTTCAGCTCTCAAGATTTAGGTGTGGCCCAAGGTCACAGGCAGGGCCTGAAGGGGGCCTGTCCCACCCACCCAGGCCATCCCCCCTCTCAGGGCCAATCATTAATTGGCACCGCTCGAGTGGCTGCCTGCCAGCCCATGGCCCGGCTCCGATCCCGTGCCCGGGGCACCTGCATGCCTCTTACATGGGCTGGCCTCTGACTTCCTGCTTGTGAGTCCCAGGAGCTGAGCCCTGGGCGGAGCAAGGGGCCTGCTCAGACCACCATGACAGCACGCAGAGGGACTCCTGCTGCCTGCAGGGCTCAGCCCAGCTCAGCCTGCAGCCAGGGCCCTCCTGGCTGAGAGCTGGGCCTTCCTCGGAGGGCAGCGAGGAGCCGGAGGGGGCCTTCAGGCTGGTCGGGAGACAGCCTGGGTGTTAGGAAGCCCATCCCCCGGGGGCAGAGAGCAGAGGGAACCTCAGGCAGGTGCTGAGCTGGCCTTGGGCTGACAGGCCCGGGAGGAGGAAGCGCCAGGGCGTGGCTTCAGACGGAGGTGAAAAAAGGCGTTGCCGGCCAGCGGGGAAATCAGATGTGAATAAGCAGGCAGAGGGGAAGGGCCTCCCAGGGTGAGAAGCTGCAGGAGGGAAGGGGCCTGGCAGGCTCAGCGATGGCTAAAGCTCTAGTTTCCAGAAGGGATGGAGGGAGGCAGGGGCTACTCAGACTCCAAGCTAGGAAGCTAACTTTATCCTGGGCAATAGGGAGCTACTGAAGGTTTTGGAGGAAGGGAGTGACATGGCATGGACGGGGCGGGGAAGGAGGCAGAGGGAGGAACTGACAGCTGCCAGAGGAGGGCCAGGGAGGCAGGCCCGCAGTGGCCATGGGGCAGAGTGGGGGGATGGACAGAGGGGACAACCCCAGGTTTCTGCTGGACGACTGGGTGGTCAGGCCAGCAGGGGAGGCTGAGGATGGAGATTTCAGCAGCAAGATGCTGAGCGTGTTGACCAGAGGCTCCCGTGGGTCAGCCGCGCCGAGTGGTCCACAGGGGGCAGCCGTGCCGGTCTTGACGCCGGCGGAGAGCTGATTGGGGCGGGGCTGGGAAGGAGCAACCAGAGGCTAGAGGAAGCCCAGGTGAGCTGGGGCCCAGCCAAGGAAGAGGGGCACTCGGCCACACCAAGGTCACTAATGGCCGGGACAGGGGTGACTGGAGTGAGAAAATGAGGGACGGGGACAGTGGGTGTGGACATCTCTGCCAAAAACTCTGCCTCTGAAGTGCTCGTGAAAGTGAGAGGGGTGTCCTAGGTGGGCTCCCTAGAAGCAGAGCCTGAGATGCCTGATCCCAAGGGAGCTCAGGGCGTGAAGAATGTCACAGAGCAGCCCCACCTGCACGAGGGGACTTTATACCCTCTGCATCAGCCCGTCCTTGGCTGTAGGCACCCGTCTCTGTGGGCAGAGGGCTAGACTCCAAGAAGGAACAGCTGTGAGCTGTAAGCCGAGATCCTTACAGCACCAGGGGCTGCTCTCAGGGAGAGTGATGTGGGTCCCCCTGTGCGGGGGCCGGTCGCTGGCAGGGGGGCCTACGCCAATCCTCTGGGCTTTGGAGGGTGTATAGGAGCCCGCCATTTACTACTGGTACTATTGGTGAACTCCCCGCCTGGGGCCTGACCCTGAGGAGAGGATCAGAGTGGCCGGGCCTCCCTCACCGCCTATGTCTTGAGGTCCTAAATGAAGGGCAAGTTCCCACCTGTCCTCAGGCCACAGGACCAGGTCCACTGCCCGTCCCCCTTTGCACAGGGAGGCAGGGAGGGCTACCAGAAAGGGGATCTGAACCCAGCTCCCCCGTGTGGCCACTGGCCACCGCACAAGTCCCCTGGCCTCAGTATCCTCAGCTGTGCTGTGGCGATGGTCACAGCTGCATCAGAGCCCAGGGTCCTGGGGCACGGGGTGGGTGGGAAGGGGACGGGGAGTGCCAGGCAGGCAGGTGGGCACCTGGCATGAAGCGGGCACTGGTGCCCATGCCCTCCCAACTGTGGGGGACAGGGCAGGCAGTCCCACCCTCTCCGCTGGCACCTGGAGGGAGGAAGCTGCACTTGGGTGGTGCGGCCCTCGGGAGGGGGCGGTGCCACCCTCCGTGCCAGGTGCCACCCACAGGCTGCTCACCGCATAGGAGCCCCTGGGGGCTTTCCCCTGTGCCTCCCCCAGCCCCACGCAGGCGTTCCAAGCCCTGCAGAGCTCAGCTCTGGCCTCAGTCCTGCCAGCTGTGACTCCGCTCCAAAGGCCCAGGCTCCTTGGCCCTCTGGGAACAGAAGGACCTGTTGTAATCACACGTTTGGAGGCTCACCTGTGCCCGCAGGTTGGGGTCTGGAATAACAGGGCAGCCCTGCATGCCCGGCACTGTGTCCCCTTATCACTCTCTGCCCTCTGACCCTCACAATGGCCTGGGGCGGGGGGGTGGCAGGTCGTCTCACCACCCCCACCCTCACTCGTTCAACAGCTGTTCATTAAGTACCTACTGCACACAGGCACTGGGAGAGGCGCTGGGGACCCAGATAAGGGCCTGCTCGCTCAGAGCTCAGGTTATAAACGAGGAAACTGAGGCCCCGAAGCCCCAAGGGCCAGACCCAAGGTCACACACACACAAATCAGGTCAGGCTCCGCAAGCCCCACTTCTCCCTTTCACTCCTCAGTCTCCTTCCCTGTAAAATGGGCACACGGGAGCCTCCCCTGGGGCCGTGTGGCCCAGGGACTGTGCAAAGCGCAGCGGGGCTCGGCCCACAGAAATCTGGATGTGCCACTGCCCACAGAATCGGAGGCCACCCCTCTCCCCCGTCCCAACTCCCCCTGCACAACCCCCCAACCCTGCCCTCCCTCCAGCCGGACTCCTCCCTGCCCCCACCTGTCACACTGCTGCGCCCTGCTGTCCCCTCCGGCCAGAGTCCCTTCCACTCTCGGAATCCCAGCTACAATCATACAGTGCTCCCTGTGGGCCGCCACCTTTCACATCAAGCCCCCCAACCAATCACCCCCTGCAGGAACCACTACTGTTACCCCATTTCCAGACACAGACACAGAGACATGGAGAGACAAAGCCTCGTGCCTAGGGCCACCCAGCTGCCGCGCATCAGCACGGCGTGCCTCTAACCACTTCGCAACCAACCTCCCTGCTCACGTCCACACAGGACAGCGTCCCCCAGCCTGACAGCCCAGAGCAAGGGCCCTCATCCATTCACACGGGCTGGCCCCTGTCGACACCTCCCTCGTTCCAGACGCGGCAGTGTCCCAGAGGGCCAGGCCAGGTCCAGGTCCGGGTCTCCCTGGGGTTCTGGGCCTCCAGCAGGCCAGACCCAGAGAAGTGCTGTTACAGCAAAGAAATCAGCCAGCAGGTGTAGAAAAGCGAGCGTGGGCCACCTGGCCTGGCCTTCAGTGGGTGGCCTGGCCCCCAGGCACCCAAAGCCCCGAAGGCGGGGTCCCCGCCCGGAGGCGCCCTTACCTACTCGGAGCTCTTGCCCGAAGACAGTCTTCTCGCCGAGGGCGGAGCAGTTCCAGCGTCCGAAGCGGAACTGGTACTGGCACTCGTTGATGCCCATCTGCGCCCCCTCCCCAATCACGATGATGGCATCGGGCCGGCTCTGGCAGATGGCACGCTGCCGCGGGGCCAAGCCAGGGATCTTGTTGCAGATGATGTTGGCTCCCAGGGCCACGACGGATGACAGCGCTCTGCAGGGGGGAGAGGATGCCGAGGAGGTGAGACACCTTGGCAGGCTCCCGCCACCCCACGCCTGCCACTCTCCCCACTCAGTCCCTCGGCCAGCAGACGTGTTCCAGGAGCCCACCTCGTGCCAAGCTCTGCCCTCCAGGGAACAAAGCACAGAGCCCTGCCCTCAAGCACCATGTTCCACTGACCTGCACACAGGATTCCAGCTTGAAAAGGCACACACACCCGTGCCCCCTCAGCCTCGAATCTGCAGGAACGGGATCGCAGGAACCACGGGATCACAAGTTTCATGAATCAACAGTCCCGTGGAACACAAGAACCACGCCTCTCTGTGCCTCCGAATCAGACACACAGACCCTTCGTGGATTTGACAGCCACCAGCTTGCGACTGTCCACAGCTGCCCCCAAGCAGCAGACCCCAACTCCCAGACAACTGAGGCTTTCCCATCACTTGTAGACCCCCGGCTCCCTCCACCCCAGGGTGCCTGGACCAGGCAGGCTGCGAAGTAGTCTGGGCAGGCTGGGAGCCAAGCCCACCAGGTCCTGAGCCAAGCCCACCAGGTCCTGACTGCAGCCACAGCCCGTGTGTGACCTTGGGGAGACATTCTGCCTCTCTGAGACTCAGTTTTCACACCCATGACATAGGGTATAAAACACCTCTCCGAGGGGAGAAAGGCTGCACACACACGTGGGGATGACTGTTGTTATTGTTTCTGAAAGACTGGGTGCACTCAGAGGAGGAAACAGGATCTGATGTGAATTGAGTACCTACTGTGTGCTGGGCTCGGCAGGGTGCTTTATTGCAACATTGTATTCTCAGAGTGGTCCCCTGAGAGTGCCTTGTAATTAATCTCCCAGCAGCCTGCAGGAACTGGGGGCACTTGCTCTGCTCTTTCTCTCTTCCCCTGGGTGTCATCAGTGTGATTGTTTATTTGTTTAAGGAGGTGAAATTCACATTGCAGAAAGTTAACCATTTTAAAGTCCTGTGGCATTGAGTACATTCCCAATGTTGGTCAACCACCACCTCTATCAAGTTCCAAGGCACTCACCACCCCAGAAGGCAACCCCCTACCCCTTAGCAGTCACTCCCCCAGCCCCTGGCAGCCACTAATCTGCTTTCCGTGCCTGTGGATTTGCTGGTTCTGAACATTCATATGGATGGAATCATACAACATGTGACCTTTTGTGCCTGGCTTCTTTCACTTAGTATAAACCTCCTCAAAGTTCATCCTCATTGTATCATGAACTTCCTTCTTTTTTATGGCCAAATAGTATTCCACTGTAATGCGAGATCGCATTCTGTTTATCCCTTCATCACTGATGGACATTTGGGTTGTTTCCACCTTTTGGCTGTTGTGAATAACGCTGCTCTGAACACGTGCACACAAGTTTTCTTTGAGTCCCTATTTTCCATTCTTCGGGGCATGTACCTAGGAGTGGAATTGCTGGGTCACAAGGTAGTTGGTTTTGCTTTCTGAGGAACTGGCAGGCCGTTTCCCCACAGAAGCTGCATCAACTGTTTGGTTTTACGCACCCAGGGAAGGGACAGCAAGCTGAAAGGAGGCAAGCTGGGTTCGGCAGACCCACAGCAACAGCTGGGTTTCAAGACAGAGTCTGGCTTCCAAACGACAGACCAGGGGGCAAAAGGTGGGAGTGGGGAGGCCACAAGGGGCTCCCCAAAGCCGCTGCGCAGGCCCTGGCCTCCTAGCACAGTGAGTTCCCTCCTTCTGCCCACAGCCTGCCAGCCCCTTTCTTGAGAGAAACGAGTCAGTGTTTTTCCAGGGCAGCCGAGCACCCACAGCAAGCTGGGAAAGTCCCCGTGTGGCCTGAGCCCACAGCACGTGCTGTGACCAGGAGGCCCCAGCGACACTCAATCCCCGTGGCCCGCCAGCCCCACCCACTAATCTGGCCAAGACCCCCCTGGGTCTCCCACGGGCACAAGGGGCAGCAACGCCTGAGGCTGGCGTGAAGGAAGAGCATCTGGGCAGGCGGGGCTGGGAGCGGGCTGGAATCTGGGGAATTCAGCCCAAAGTAATTGTGGATGCTCAGAAAACCAACCCAGGGAAATGAGATGGATGGGAACCCTGCCGGGCACCAGCCTCCAGGCCTCTGGTCGGAGCCTGGATGCGAAAAGCACATTCCCCATCCCCAGATTCTTCCAGCAGGCTCTGGGCTGCCAAGGCCCTGCAGCCCAGGGTAAGAACCCTTGCTCCTGGGGGCAGAAGTTCAGACAAATGGGGACTAACTGGATGCACCTGGGGGCAGAAACAGATTATTGCAGCCCTGGTCTCCCCACTCCAGGCAGGCCACCCCTTGCACCCACCTCCCCCCACTCCACCCTGATGGTGTCCCTGAGAGCCCACCTACAGCTCCCTGGGTTCCTTTGATCAGAATCGGAGGCCTCCTAGGATCTGGCCTCTGACGACCCTGCCACCCCTGCTTGAGCTCATGCCTCTGCCTGGCATGCTGGTCTCCCTCCCTTTCTTCTGTCTCGAAAACTCTCCTGCCCTTCCAGGCCCAAGGGCAAAGCCCCACTGGGCTCAAACCCCTCTTCCCCGGGCACCAAGGACACGCATTGTGGACGCTTGTCCCTCGAGTACCAACCTCACCCCTGGTCTCATGGTCGTTGTTTCCACCCCGGGCTCCCCCACCAGCCCGCAAACACGTCGAGGGCAGTGCCAGGTCTGAGCTGGCCCTAGGGCCTCAGGGACTGCCCCGTGTAGCCAACCATGAGTGTGGAGTGGATGAATGAATGAACGAATGAATGAATACTCAGGGATTATGTCAAAAAGAGCTCCTGCAAGTCAATAACAAGAAGACCACATTTAAAAAATGAGTGAAGGACTTAAACCTTTCTCCAAGGAGAGACAAATGGGCCAACGAGCACGGGAAAAGATTCTAAACATCAATCATCATTAGCGTAAAATGCAAATCAGAACCACAGAGAGGAAATACCTCACACCCACCAAGATGGCTATGATCAAAATGACAGAAAATAGCACGCATTGGCAAGGATGTGGGGAAACTGGGACCCTTATGCATTGCTGCTGAGAATGTAAAATGGTGCAGCCGCTGTAGACAGCAGCTGGGAAGTTCCTCAAAAAGGAATGACCATAGCACCCAGCAATTCCACTCCTAGGTGTATGTTCAAAAGAATGAAGGCAGGCGCTCAAACAAAAACCTGTACACAAATGTTCATAGCAGCACTAGTCACGATAGCCAAAAGGAGGAAATAACCCAAGTGTCTATCAACGGATGAATGGATAAACAGAATGTGGTCTAACCCAGACGGTGGAATATTATTTGGCCATAAAAAGGAATAAAGTACAGACACATGCTACACGGATGAACCTCAAAAACATACTCAGTGAAAGAAGCCAGACACAAAAGGCCACATATTTTACGATTCCTTTTCTATGAAATGTCCAGCGAAGGTAAATCCACAGAGACAGAAGCAGGGTAGGCTGGGGGCTGGGGGAGGGGTAATGAGAAGTCCCTGCTTCCTAGGTGTGGAATTTCCACCTGGGGTGATGGCAAAGTTACGGAACTAGATAGAGGTGATGGTTACACAACGTTGAGGATGTATGAAATGCCACGGAATTGTATACTTTAACACGGTGAAAGTGATGTGGCAAATTTTATGTTAAATGAACTTTGAACACGATTTTTAAAAATGCTCTCTGGGCTTCCCTGGTGGCTCAGTGGTTAAGAATCCTCCTGCCAATGCAGGGGACACGGGTTCGATCCCTGGTCCGGGAAGATCCCACATGCCGCAGAGCAGCGAAGCCCGTGCACCACAACTACTGAAGCCCACGCGCCTAGAGCCCGTGCTCCTCAACAAGAGAAGCCACCGCAATGAGAAGGCCGCGCACCGCAACGAAGAGTAGCCCCCGCTCGCCACAAGTAGAGAAAGCCCAACACACAGCAACGAAGACCCAACGCAGCCAAAAATAAAATTAATTAATTTTTTAAAAATGCTCTCTGTACACAGGACTTCCACACCCCCGGCCATAGGTGGGATCTGTGGAAGGAGACCAGAGGGGCCTTGCCCGGCTGGCACCCTGTATGCTTCTCCCAGGCGACTGGTGCTGATGCAGTAGGGGGATGGGAGCCCCCAGCCATCCTCCAGATGTCAGTGTGTGGATTAGAGATAAAACAAAAGCTTCAGAGAAAAGAGTCGCACTGTACACCAGGAGCAAAAATAATCAGATGGTTGATAATTCAGAAATGATTTCAACATTGTCTCCCTTAGAATGTGGAGATCTTTTTCCCCTAAAGATATTAAATATTCCCATTCTGAGCACCCGCCTTGGACAACACAGGCCTCCGCTGTGTCTCAATCCTCTCTTTGCAAGATGAGCCTTGCCATCCCCGTGTTACAGGAGTGCGGACTGGAGCTCAGAGAGGCTAAGGGACCTGCCCAAGGCCACACAGCCAGGTCTCTGCTTCCAGAACGCAGGTGGAGACAGCACTGTGGCTCAGAGCACAGCACACAGTAGGAGCATAATACAGAAGACGGCCTGGAGTGGGAAACTACACCCACTCTTCATTCTCAAGACACAGCTTACATCCTCCCTGCGTTTAAAACCCTCCAGGTCACTCGGTAATTCGTGCAGGTTTCTGGACAGCTGCCGGTGCCAGTGATTGAGCTCTGGCAACCCGGCCGGTGCCCCGTCCATCCCCTCTCCCACAGTCTGACCACTGGCCTCCCTGAACAGGCCTGGCCCGCCTCGGCCCAGGACCTGGCCTCACTACACCTGAAGGCCTGCCCGCACTGTTCCTTCCACCCAGAGGGGAGGGGGCTGCAGATGGGAGTGGCGCGTTAGGAAACCATCAGAGTGGGAAAGGGGTAAAAATACACGGTGGCTACAGAACTGATGCCCTCCTGGAGACAGGAAGGGGACGCAGGCAGCATTCTGGGGTAACTGCAGTTTGGGGTGAGGACATGCTATGGGCGCTTTCAGCAAGGTGTCCCACTGGGTGGGCCCGGCTCTCACCCTCT